GGAACATGGTATACTTGCTGATTCAGTGGTTCCATCATTCACTTAGTCTCCAAATTCCAGTCATTTTTGCTTCCTCTTCCTGTTCGAGTCAACAAGCCCTCTGAATTCTTCCTCTGTACTTTTCTTTCCTTCCTATTTCCACTACCAGCATCTTGATTTCTCTACCTTGTTTGCCATTCGATTAATCTTCATAGAACCCTGCTCACAAACTTCTATTGCCTGTAGTAATCAGAAGTCTTCCTGTTGCAGATAAAAGAACCCAGTTCCTACTGACAAATTAAAAAAGAAACGTATTGGTTCACACCTTACTGAAAAGGCCAAGGGTATCTGCCTTCAAGCATGGCTGCCCAAGTGTCTAGGTATCAAGTGACATCACTGAGAGTCTCTCTCCCTTCATCTTGGCTGTGGGTTGGCTTCACCCTCAGGCACACTCTTCCTAAGGGTGACAAAACAGCTACCACTACCTGCAGACTTATACTGAAGAAATGTAGCATCATTAGCAGAAAGAGAGGACTCTTTCTCAATAGTCCAGCAGAAGTCCTAACACAGACTCTGATATGCAAGACCTGGGTCCTGGACCCATCCCTAGAGCCTGGGGTGATGTCAACCCATCCAACCTACATAGAGTCAGAGTGGGAAAAGCGTGGTTCCTTAGAAAATAAAGGTGCTATTACAAGATGAGGGGATGAGCTTATCTGTAAGCAGAGGCAACAGATGTCCAATACACTGTCCCTTGACTGTACAGTACAATTAAATTCCCTTAGTCTGACATTCTAGATCCTTCTACCTTAATGTAGCCTAAAACTTCCGTCCTTTTTGCTCACCCCTTATTCAACACAAGCCTTTCAGTTGAGCCAATCTTTTTCCCCCCAGCTTTACTGAGATATAATTGACAACACTGCGTAGGTTTAAAATGCATAACATAGTGATTTTATATAAGCACGTATTGCAAAATGATTACCACAATAAGGTTAGTTAACATCTCCATCACCTCACAGAGTTACAAGTTTTTTGAGCTTAATCCTAACTATTTGTTATTCTCTGATCTTTCCATGGTCTTCCTATCTTTACATCTTTGCTAATGCCACTACCCCGCTCAACTCTTCAAATTCTATCCATCCTCCAAACCCAAGATTAGTCCACTCTCTTTCGGGTCCACCTAACCCTCCAGATTGCAATGATCTATGCTTTTATTCACTAGATTAACATTTATTGACTATGATCTGGGCCAAACAGAGTATCACTCAAAAATCGGAAGCAGGACACAGTATCTGTTGTCAGATTGTGGACATGTAACCAAAAGATCAGTAAAGACAGAAAAAGCTGGTATGGAAATAAATATTTATTTGGAATGAAAAAATAAATTACAAGCAATTACAAATTTTGAAAAGTTGATATGTCACAAAATCACAAGATCCAAAAAGCAACAGTATTTTTGTTGATTAACTGCCTGGCACCCCTCTATAATATTTACTTGTTTAGAACATTTTTGGCTGTATAGTCTTTCATCACATCTTCATTTGACAATTATTTTGTAAGATTTCCTATAAAGAAAATAAAAAGATAATTCAGTATTAGAAGCTTTTTGCTCTTACTATTGATATATTGCAGAACTTTTTTTTTTAACGTTTATTTATTTATTTGGCTGCACCGTGTCTCAGCTGCGGCATGCAGGATCTTCCTGGCCGCGTGCGAGATCTTCGTTGCGGCCTGTGGGATCTAGTTCCCTGACCAGGGATCGAAGCTGGGCCCCCTGCATTGGGAGTCTTGACCACTGGACCACCAGCGAAATCCCTGCAGAACTTATTTTAGCTTCACAACTCATATTTGATAATGTCATGTCAATATTTAGGATGCTGTCAAATTTGAGAAAAGCTCTATTATCAGATTTTTTTCTATTTATGATTTATCAGATTCAGAAAATTTTTTCATAGACTAGCTTCTGGCTCCTAATATTTTAAACCTTCTTTTTCCTCCACGACATGCTGCCACTGGTACTGGTCTCTGTGGAACATACACATCTCATGATAAGAATGTGATCACTTTTTTTTTGTGGGCATGAGTTTGTAAGCTATTTAATATTCTGGAAACTCTGTCTTTTGGCGATGTCCCTCTTAAAGCCCTCAGTCCTTCTGATGTGTAATGACCCAGTTGGCCCTGCACTATTGGGTGGAGAATGACATGTGAGTCAGCACGGAGGTTGGTAGGAATGTTCTTTGAAGCCATTCCATTTCCTACACTGGAATGGCTAGCAGCAACATTACCCATGGAAGTGACAGTGAACCATGTAAATATATTTTACTAAAACCTACACGGAATATATTTTCAGCTCTGCTTCTGGCCTTGACATTTTGTGAATAGGAGTGGCCTTGTGTGCTTTGGAAGGCAGCTTAACCCTCTCTGAGTCAGGCTGAAGTTATACATGGAAAAATAGAAAAGAAGGAGTTGGGGAGCTGATACAGTCATCTTCAGGGCAAGAACAGCTCCCAGTACCTCTTGAGATTGGGTGTAGCACACAGAAATAAAATCCCAGATCTCCTTCCCACAGGCTTCTTCTCACGTTCCCTAATCGGACCGAGCACTCTATACTCCAGAGCACTTCCTTCCCCAAAGGGGGAGCATCCCAGATCAGCAGGCACAGCTGTCCCACTGCTGAGGCTTCTCTAACCACCTAGACTAGTTCCACAAGTCCTTCCCAGTTCAAAGAAGTGTGATCCCAAGAGAACTGGCCAAAAATCCCAGCTGATGTGGAGGTCAGAAAGCAATGCTGAGCTAAAATGCAGTACCCAACACGGCCAGCGGTAGAATTCTAATGCCCGTTCCCTAAGTGGTGCTCCCCAAACAGCACATGCCGACCGGTACCTGTTCCCGGGCTGGAGTGGCAGCTGACCCAGCCACCCCACCCCTGATCGCCACAGCTGTCTGCTCTTTCTCCTTCCCTGTAACTGAGCTGCGAAAAATGGCAGGGTTTTTTTTCAGGATGAATTTTAATACATCGCCAGAGCGATGTTTTTAGTTTTTAGTTTTTAGTTTTTAGTTTTTAGTTTTTAGTTTTCTTCTGTTAGAGCTGAAACTCCACTTTCAGGTGCCATTCCCCCTGTGCAGGATAGTGTTTCTTCCACAGAAGAAACAGACCTCAGAGAACTGTGCAAGGAAGGCCTGGCCCAGAATAAACTGAAGTTTTTCAAAACTGCAGGCCTCCATCCTTGATCTTTTATCATTCTTTTGAGTGACTTTAAGGACCAAAATAAGTGGTTTAATACAAAGCCAGGAGAAATAGTAAACTAATAAAAGGAGTCAAAAGTTTTCCTCAGGTTAATTCTATTACGTTGAAATTTAAAAAAAAAAAAAAAAAAAAGGATAAATGTGGAATACCGTGATGGAGTTAAAAATTCTCCAGATGCTTGCAGAAGTACAAGAAGATATAAAAACAGTTAATTGAATGTTACTGTGTGTCAACCACTATTATAAGAGCTTTACTTGTGTTTACCATATCTTAGATGAGTTGATGGTAAAGGCTGTGTGAGTACTGGCTATCATTAATTCATCTAGCAAGGTTGTAAGGATTAGAAATGGTGTAGGTATCCTGCCTGGCACATAGTAGGTGCTCAATAAACATTGGCTAATACTAGTTTCTAAAGAAAGCTTGAAGGATCCCATACCCTTTAATATAGAGTGATTCTTCAATCTTAGTTGGAGGGATGTGAATAAAGATGATAATTGCCTCCAGTTAGTTGTAGGACAATAAGTCCGAGGACGGAGTGGATTTATTTTGTGTGGCCCTGTAGGAAGGATAAAAAACAATGAGTGGAAAGCGCTGGTGAAAAGGAAGAAAGGGACGGAGGGAGAGGGAAAGGGAGAAAGAGAAGAACAGAGGAAGGATTTAGGGACTGTCTTGAGTTCCCACATGTCTGTGGGGCTACTCTAGAAAGGGTAGGAACAGACCTCTGACAAGGACAATTATAATGGGAATGCAAACAGCATACAAGCTTGCAGATAAGGGATATTTTTACCACTAATCTAATACCAAACCGCACTTCAAACTTTACCCAGATGACTTGAGATATGAAAGTAAGTGCCTTGGAGACTTTTCATCAGAGCTCAAGCTTCACAGGACAAAGTTTTCCACCAAATGGAGTTCTAATGAATGAAGCAAAGGATAAGGTTGATTCCTGTATTAACTAATAGGTAACTTCCACATCACTATTTTTAAAATGGTCTTCAAATTAACAAGAGAGTAAACGTTCCCCTATCAGACCAGCATTCCTGAGGCCAGTAACTCAGTGACTTTTTTTTTTTTTTTTTTTTTGCTGCTGCTGCTGCCAGAGGACAGTGGATAATATTTATAAAGCTTTAAGGAGTTCATTAGTCAAGTGAATGTGATAATGTAATTCTCAGAAAATGCTGGATCTTTTTTGCAAAGTAAAGAATTGCTCCTCCTGTAATAGCGAATTCAACACCTATAAACATTTAAAAAATAAAACTTTAGACAAATGTAAGGTACCATTTTTATTATTTTCACAGTCTCAGTCAACATATTTCTTGTCAAAGTGAGCTTCATTATACCTGTTTTCTTTTCTTTAAAAAAGGGCTTTTTAAAAATTCACTTTAAAGAACCAACTTAGAGCTTAAAAAAACAAAATCTATGTTAACTGGATAAGGTATATTTCTATATAAAATATTTTACAAAAATGTTATAGGGGCTTCACTTGTGGCGCAGTGGTTAAGAATCCGCCTGCCAATGCAGGGGACGTGGCTTCGAGCCCTGGTCCGGGAAGATCCCACATGCCACGGAGCAACTAAGCCCACGCACCACAACTACTGAGCCTGCGCTCTAGAGCCCGTGAGCCACAACTACTGAAGCCCGTGTGCCTAGAGCCCGTGCTCCGCAACAAGAGAAGCCACCGCAGTGAGAAGCTCACTGCAACGAAGAGTAGCCCTCACTCGCCACAACTAGAGAAAGCCCGCGCGCAGCAATGAAGACCCAACGCAGCCAAAAATAAAAATAAAATAAGTAAATTTATTTTTTAAATGTTATAAAGTTCACTTTAACATAGTCTCAGATTCACACTTCTAATTTTCACTTGATTTAAAATCAACCAATGGCAAATGCAAACCCCTGTCAGGCATTTTGTAGAACATTATACATTTAACACACTAATATATAACTTAGTGTATAGTATGGTACAATGGTTAAACTGAGTTGATGCTAGAGATTACTGGTCCAAATCTAGGCTCCACCACGCACTAGCTATTAACTTAGTCAAGCTATTCAAACTTCTGTGCCTTACCTATAAAATGGAAATAATGAGTATCCAGCTCATCAGGCTGTTCCAAGTTAATACAAAGAAAGCACAGGCATGTAGTAATTGGTCAATGAATGTTAGGTACCATTGTTATTAGCACAAATATTAAAGGAGGAAGAAAATATATCACATTTCAGAAAAACTGACTGATGCTGAGTTAAAATACAGTATCCTAAGTAACCAATTGTAAAAGTGTTAATACCTATCTATTAAATGATGTTCCCACAAACAATAAATACCTATATTGGCATGAAATTTAACATTTTATTTCAGAGACACACATTTCTTGTTTGTTCTTGCATGCAAACATTGAGGCAAGCAGTACCTTTTGAATGTATGTCACTGTGTAGGTGTTGTAAGGGGTGCATGTGTATCAGAGAGTCTCAGAGTCCCATGTGATTCCACGGTAACGTTTTTTCATTCTGATGATTGAGATCATACTCAGTAATTGTTCGAGACAATCACATTTGATAACACACAGTGAATTTTCTGAAGTTTCATTATTATAAGAAGCAAATATGTCATAGACATCATATGCAATACTTTTTAACAAAAGAATAAGTAACATCCATAAATAACTGGTGGGATGGATTACACACCATGATAGTTTACAGTGGTGTGCCTCATTCTATCGTTAAAATAGAAATAGTAGCTAGCATTTACTAAATATGTGTCAGGCATCGTTCTAAGTGATTTACATGTATTTTTTTCATTCTGTCCCTGCAACAACCCTGTGAAGTAGATATTATTATCCTCATTTTATGGAGAGTCTGAGAGGTTAAGTAATTTGTTCAACATCACACAAAAGGTGTGAAGGCAGGATTCAAAACCATAGAGTCCAATTTCTGAGCCTCTGTTATTCACCACCTCATCATGCTGAAAAGAGATAAATTATCGATCAACTCTCCACTGTCAAAAAGGGTTTCCTAGAAGAATTTTATCAACATATCTTAATACTTTAAAAATATGACATAATTTATAAAATTGTGCATCACACATCTCAGGAGCACATCATTTGCATAAACTGGTTTTTATTAGTGAACTAATAAGTTCACTCTGGGAAAACAGCATATTATTCTCCTTTTAAAATGATTTTCACCTTCAAGTTATCTAGTTAAATGCCTTAAAATCAATCTATACATGGATCTTTATTTAATATACCTGAAATACAAACTTAAGATACACAAACCTAAAAATATGATTATCTATTTGGAAATACATATATATATATAAAACATATATATATATGCTAGAGAATCCTGCAGGGCACAAATAAATTGCAAAAAACTATGATTAGTACCTTCAAAGAAAAAAGATAAAATGTTAAATTCATGAATCAAAAACAGGATGATAATATTTATATTATCATACATGATGCATATGTAGAACAGGAGGAATGTTTAATGATATTACAGGGAAAATGGTTTGGGAATCTGTGTTCCGCTTAGACAGCTAGTAGAGAATGTCTCTTTCTAAAGTATGAAGTTTGAAATGCCCCCGTGAACCAAAGTAGGAGAGGAAATGCCACAAAGGAACACAGATCAGACCTAAACCTGGGCTACAAGTTCTTCCCAGTTCCAGGAGGCAGGCACTGGAAATTTATATCAGAATCATATATTTATCTTTAGTGTAGTTTATAGTAAAGCGTATAGAGTTTTCATCCCAAAGTAGTTTTTTTTTTTTTTTTTTTGGCTGCGCTGGGTCTTCGTTGCTGGGTGCAGTCTTTCTCTAGTTGCTGCGAGTGGGGGCTACTCTTCATTGCAGCGTGCGAGCTTCTCATTGCGGTGGCTTCTCTTGTTGTGGAGCACTGGCTCTAGGTGTGCGGGCTCAGTAGTTGTGGGACGCGGACTCTAGAGCGCAGGCTCAGTGGTTGTGGTGCACATGCTTAGTTGCCCTGAGGCCTGTGGGGTCTTCCTGGACCAGGGACTGAACCCGTGTCCCCTGCATTAATTAGCAGTCGGATTCTTAACCACGGGGTCACCAGGGAAGTCCCCAAAGTAGATTTTAATCAAACATAAATGCCTTTATTGTCTTCACAAAAATCCCAAGATAAAAATGTCTTTGAGGGACTGGTATAGACCTGTGTCAGGATAATTTTTTTTAATTCTAATTTACCCAGTCTTCCTGTTTTTTCTCTTCTTTCAGTCTCAAGCAGGAAGGAAGGTCCTTTGTAATTTCTCACCTTAGGAATTTTGACAGAACTGAAAGCATGTACATATGAAATCAGAGGCTCTTCTGATCTTTTGAGAAACCTAAGTCCATAAATGACATAATCATGGGTGTCCAAGAGGGGAAGAGGAGAGAGGAAAGCATTTTTAAAATCAGAAAAGAGAGAGAGCCGAGATTCTGGGAGACTGGACAGGGGACAGAAGTCAGCGGATTCTCTGGAGCACCAGGGACCAGCTGCATCACTTAACAGCAGAGCCACAGGATGAGGCAGGGCCTCGGAGAGGAAGGCCTATAGTGCTCCTAAGGACAGACCCTGGCTCTCCCAGGATTCTCCTTTCCCAGGCATGGTCCAGAAGCAGCTAAGCCCTCAGGCCATGCTGATGAGACATAGGCCTGGCAGCAGAAGCCAGGGTGAGCCATTGATCAGTGACCAGAGTGATCCGTATCTCCCCAAAATCTCAGCACAGTTCTGTGGCAAGAGCCAGTCAAGACAGTGAGTGAATTCTCTGCCTGTTCTGCAGGATGGGGGCTCAGAGTCAGATTTCAGTTGACTTAGGGAAAATGGAGAAATGTGATATTTCCTGCACAGCTGTTTGTGAACCGAAATTCATTCCCACAACAGATAGGTATCTGGAATGGATGACTACCACCACCTGACTCCCAAGTTTGGTGTCCGTAGGGGATGAATTCAGATAATCATCCCCTCTTACATAATGGTGTCTTAACAAGTTTACATGAGTAAGTGGGGTGGAGAGGTTTTAAATAATTACTTATTGGGAGCAGTTATCATCCCATTTCTGGCAGGTTATGGAATGTTGTCTAGTGAATTAAGCTTCAA